CCCCTCCATCCTGGGGGGACACTCAGGGAGAGTGCAGGAGCATCTTGACCTCTTCTGGATGTGTCAGAAACTCAGGGTTTGGATCAGGAAAAACCTCCCCGGGCTGGATGAGGAGTGTGAGGCATAAAGACTGCTGTATGTCCACTCGGTGTAGTTATGGTAGTTCCATTGTGGAGGTTTTCCTCCTTGATTCAAATGGAAAAAACAGAACGTGGAGATGTGGAATGGTGGCTGGTGTTGCTCCTGTGCACAGAGGCCCCTTGTACATGAGTGTTGGGTTCACAAGGTGTGTGTCCATGGAGCATCTTTTGGGTCTGCTGGGTCCATGTGCACATCATGCAGTTGGAGAAATACAAGATGAGGTGTAAAGTTTTCCAGAAAAACATCCTGGTTTGGTCACCCGTGCTTTTGGTGGCAGCACCATCCTCCAGAATGTTCTGGAACCACTGCTTGGCTCTGCAGGGGACTCAGCCTGTTCATTACAGTGAGAGCAGCCATGGACTGTGCTGGGTCTGAGCAGCTCCTGCTGCCCCGTGGAACAGAGGAGTTGAGAATCCCAAAGAGGAAAGTGGGAGCTGTGACTGGACAATGCTGTGTGTTCCTGGGCTAGATCACTTGCATTAAATTCAGAGCCTTTCTGAGCACAATTAATAGTCATTTTATTTAGGTCACCCTGGTTTTGTTGCTTTAAATGTATGCCTCCATTAAAGTGGAAGAAAATCAAATACATTTATCTCCGTGGAGCCTTTTGTGAAGTGGTTGGGCATATTTTAAATAACCCTGAGAACTGTTAGGATTATTAAAGCCTTTGGCTCCTCCAGGTTTTTTTTCTATCCTCCTATTCTCCCCTATTCCTCCTTCCAGGCAGTGAGTAATGAAGTGGTAGAGCCCTTCCTTTTCTCAGAGCCCCAAGTGGATTGGAAAAAAAAAAAGAAGTTAAATAAACTGAAGCCCATTAGTTGGGCTTTATATAAGAAACTGGGTCTGCATTGGCTGTATGTATGGGCTGTGCTGGGACAGGGGAGTCTGTGGGGCTGAAGTGTCCGTTTGTAACCGGTGTTCGCTGGAAAGGCTTTGTTTTCTTCTTTTGATTTACCACAAGTGCTAAGACTGTTCATTTTGTAACACACTCTCACTTCATGGCCAGAATTAGTCCAGATTAAGCAGCTCCTTTAAGCCTCCATATCAAGCCATACTACATCTAAACCAGGTTGAGGTTTTGGGTTGCCAGCTGGCTCCCGAGTGTGCTGGGTGGAGGTGGCTCAGCCTCCCACACCTGCACTGGGGAATCCAGGGCTTTGCTGGGGGCTGGTTCTGCTGTGCCCCGGGAATGGGCTGGCCGAGGGTCTGGCTGGCAGCACGTGGGGTAAAGGCCAAGCTTTGCAGGCGGCAGTTCTGTCTTCCAGTCTCGCTTCTATCCCTGGAAAAACCTTCCTTTTCTTTTGTAAGCAAGATGTGAGCTGCGTGTTTTGAGCTGAGACCCGGAAAACTTGCAGTTGAGCATCTTTAAAATTCTGGGCGAGCGCGGGAGCGTCGGGTTGGAGGAGGGGGTTAACTTGGGCAGCCACAGCTCCTGAATGCACTTGAGTTTCGGCTGTGGGTTGTTTTTTTTCCCTTCCCCTGAAACAGGGATCAATTTGCTTACTACAGGGTTTACTGCCGGTTACCTTGACTGTGTCCCTTATTTCTCCTTGATGAAAACTTGAACAAGCCGCTTGTGTTTGCTTCACAGAGAACCGTGAGAAACGGGCTGTGTGTGTGAGGCAGTGTGGTTTGCTCATTCTATTCAGCCCTTTGTATATTCAAATTCTTCTAGTTTGAGTTCTTGCTGTTCTGCCAGATTTCCATACCATTGATGGGTTTTCTGCATTAATAAGTTTCTTCCCCCCCCTCCCTCCCATACCCTCGCCACCTTTTTGCGACTGGTGAAAAGTTTTTCTAAGCACGCCGCCCTCTCCATATTGATTTTTCTTCTCCTGCTTGTCTAACCAGCTCTTAGATGTTTTATTTTGCAAAGCGTTAATAGAATTTTCCTTTTGCCGCTGCACTTTATCTATTCAGGAGGTTTCAAGAAGTCTCATTGTGTCACCGGACTATGGAGGAAAGAGGCTATTCTTCTGCTACAATGGCTGCCCTAAAAAATAACGCAGGGTGGGGTAAGCTCAGAAAGGGCAGAGACGGAGATAAAATGTTCTGACCTTAGGAAAGAGAAAAGATAACCAATTAGACATTGTTGAAAGGGCACCAGCTGGCTCAAAGAACACCCCACTGATTATTTTTTCTTCAAGGCACACACGGGCCACGTCTGAACTCGGCTGCAGAGCAGCTTCCCCCGTGCAGGTTTGATCTGTGGACTGGCAGGGCTGACCCTTTTGCAGGGGGCTGCTGCCCGGGCCTGATCCCAGGAGTAGGGGTCAGTGCCGGAGGGGCGAAGCGCCTGCTCCGGGATTCCTGTGCTCCCCGGGGTCCCAGCCAGCACACTGGAAACCTACTGGGTTAGCCCAGGCAGGGTTAGTCCATGCAGCCTGTGCTTGTTACTGCTAATAGGGATTTATTTGCATAAAAAAGATCTCTGCCAAGATCATCATTCCAGGGAAGGGGGCCTTGGTACACATGGCACAAAGTGGTGTCTGCCCAGAGGACGTCTATCCGTCTATCCGTGGGGGAGACGTGTTGCGTTGGACAGGTGGGAGAAGGGAATGGAACTGCAGATCCCAGTGCAGCCAGGAGCTGCACCCAGAGCTCCCCACCCTTCAGTGCTCAGTTCTGGTGCCAGGACTAGTCCCTCCTCTGCCCTGGCAGCCCTTGGAGGAGCAGGATGTGGCTGCACAAGAGGTTCAAGTCGTGCTGCTGCAGCTGAACCCAAGGGGTTGGGAGACCTTGGGCTGAGACACAGCCATGCTACAGTGAGGGCAGAGTCACAGCCTCATCTGAGAAGGCTTCTCCCCCTGACACCAACACAGCAGGCTTTTTGAAGTCCCCAGTAATGTCCTCTCAGGAGGAGGTGTCATTTTGGCAGGACAGCCCTTTCAGTGTGGGTCCGGCCTGGAGAGCCTACACACAGCATCAGCCTCTTGGTCAGGGCACATGGGACCTCCCTTGGCTGCTGGGTCTCTGCTCCTGGTCATCCAGGAGCTCTCTGGGCTCTGGGATGGGATTTGAGGCAGAAAAGTTACACAGGAAGAGTCCCAGGTTAAACCTTTTGCAGCAGTGATGGAGTGGGGACAGGGGGTGGGTGGCACACACCGGGTCCAGGGGCTGGAGCTGCGATGCCCCAGGAAACAGCAGGAGGTACAACATGTAATTTTTGGTTCCAGTGAGGCCAAGACCTGTGAGAATGAAAAATAAAGATTGCTGAGCAAATGTAGCCGTGGAGCAGAGATAAGCAGCGGTGGCAGGGTGAAGGGCAGCACAGTCCTTATCTCCCTCCTGGGATTGCTCATCCTGGTGAGTTTTCCTCCTCAGAGGGAAGACAGACAGAGGGACAAACGGCTCCGTGCTTAATGCGCTTTGGATTTTTCAGTGCATCAGCGTCTTTAGGTCTCAGTCATGATGGGGATCTGGAGATCTGCTGTTCTGCACCCCCTCAGTCCATCACTAACACTCTTTGAAAGTCATTCTGACTGAAAAGTTAAGAACAAGTTAACCAGAGACAGGTTTTCAGATGAATTTTAGGTATCATGTAAGGTTTTGCTGCGCTGTATCTTTTCACTATTTCCTGGAAAATATTTCTGTCCTGTAGTTAAGAGAAGTTCAGGCTTTGTTTTTACCACCTTCCCAAACTCTCTCTGCCCAGCCAAGGCTGAGATGGTAATTTTGCACAGTCATAGGCTGAATGTTTGTCCCCTGCCTAAGAGGACGGTTGGGGGAACAGGTGGACCCTTTGGTGGCACTGTGTGAAGTGAGCAGAGTGTGTAACTGAATTGTAATTCACTTAGCTAAAACAAATGATTTATAGAAAGCCAGAATATAAACACAAGTAAGTACCTAAAAATTACTGGTGGGGAAAAAAAAAATCAAAAAACCCCAAACAAGCAAACAAAAAATCCCAAGCCCATCCCCCAGGCAAGGAGTGGAGACTTGTAAAGGATAAAACCTTTTCCTTAAAGATCTTCTCCCTTCCTGCAACACCTTCTGCAGTTGAGTGGTTACAGGTTTTCATCAGCCTTGAGTTTACAACAGGGAATTGCAAGTCTGTAATTTCTTCTCGGAGCTTGCCCAGGACGTGTCTGGTGGTGCGTGGGACCCACCTGCCCCCGCTCCTGCGGCCTCAGAGCAACAGCTCAAAGTGTGATAATGCTGGGAAATCAACCCCAGCACAACATCCTCCTGCAGTAAGTGTAAAATTTTAGGTGTGGCTGCACAGATTAAATGGAGGTGGAATAAATCATGCAAATCCTAATGAAAGTTGAAAGCAATTTGGTTGCACTTCAATACGTTTCATCAGTCATCTCTCTTCTGAAGTGGAAATGCCGAGCCTGATGCGAATTAAACTTTCTCCCTCCTCCCTCTCCCCTCTTTCCTCCAGCTTTTCAAAAGTCCTTTTGAAAACCTCTGAATACCTTACTTGGCTGACCAGATTTTACCCTGCTCGTACCTCTTTCTAACCTCCTAACTCTCAACCAAGACAGTGACTCTGTTTTGGAGAAGTCATGGCCTTGATTTGTATCCACGTTTCCTCTCTTGGCCCTTCCTTATCTCCCTACAAAAGGGAAATGAGGCACAGCCAGGGATCGGTGTGAGATGGAAGAACTGCTCAGATATTTGGCTTTTTAGGGTGGACACTTTTAGTGTTCGCTTTTCTGCTTTAGGATCAGGTGTCAACTGGGATGGGGGGTGAAAGCACCAGGTTTCCAAAACGAGGAACTGACTGGCTGAAATCAAGGAGATCTGCTCCATGGAGGCTGCTCCTGCCCGTGTCCCCCGTCCTGGTGTGTGTGTCGTGTGTTCCAGCCCTCAGTGGTGTGTTAAAGCACAAATCTCCCCTCTTTGTCTTGCAGGTAGAGGACGCCATGCTAATGTTTGACAAGACGACCAACAGGCATAGAGGTAAGAGAGAACAGCCAAAAATCAGTGTCAACGTGGTGATTTGGTGGCTAAATCCATGGTGCTAAATTCTTCTGTCTTAGAGGTTGCAGAGGAAGGATTTTCTTGTTAGAAATGGCTTTTCTGGTCAGTCCAATGACTTCTCTTTGGGAGGACCATTGTCAGGCTCCCTGGAGAGAGTAAAGCCCATGGAGCTGGTTGTGCTGAGGCTGCTGGGAAGCAGTGGGTTTGTTCTGAGGTGGCTGGCATTAGTTAAGCTGGGCATAAGGCCAGTTAAGCTGAAACACCAGGAAATTAAGGTGATAACCCCTGTGCTGGGATTTCAGGCATACTGGAATCCTGGAGCTGAGTGAGGACTGCTCGTCCTCCGGTGGTGTAGCTCAGAACAAGCAGGATCTCCAGGAATTTCCCTCCATATATTTCACAAGAGAGATGAGGTTTCATCATCGCTTGTACAGTTCTGTGAAAACGAGCTGAGGGTTATTTTCACTGTTATGGCCATTCCTTTCAGTGGAAATAAATGACTCTGCTCCGTCTCTCGGGGAGCCGTTCGCGTTCCCGCCGCAGCAGCCGCGGAGCTCCCGGCAGCCAGTGCTGGCAGCACTGCATCCCCCTGGGAGCAGGGAATGTGCCTGGGCTCTCACAGGGCACCAGGAGCTGCTGTAGGGACAGGCTCCAGGACCCTGTTCCCCCCCCTCTGACCGAGGTTGATTTTCAGCGTGGTGTGTTTGGCTCCTGCCCCTGTGTGACGGCGCTGACGGCAGCGCCAGCTCTGCCCATGGCCTCTCACACTCCGGCCTCTTTGGGGGGCTCTGGATTGATCTGGTGGCTCTCTGAGGCACGGATAATGTTGGCTGCTTTGAGTGGTTTGGGGAGGCTGCCAGAAGGTGGGAAGAAGCCTGTGCCCGGCCAGGATGGGAGCCCTGGGAAGGGGAGACGGGGGCAGCCCAGGGAGCTGCCTCACCTTTGTGTCGGCACAGGGTCATGAGACCTGACTGACCTCCCAGCGCTGTCTGAGCCACTCACGGCTCTGAGATTTGCTGTAACAAGAAACTCGGTTTGTGTTGGATGGCTGAGTGAGCCAGGCAAGCCTCCGGGATAGCATTCCCTCCCTCCCAGGCACTGATCCCTCTCTGAAATCAGGGATTGTTATACCCTGGAAAATGCAGCCACAGCGAGCAAAAGACTTGCTTGGGAAGATAAGCTCATTCGAGCCAGGGAAGGTGTGTGAACAGCCAGTGCCCATCTGTGTAAAAGGGATCTGTTCAAAACTTTTATATAGTTTGGAAAGTTCAACCCACGGCAACTTCCTTTTATATCCAGGGAATTTTCCACCCATCTGTGCAAAACCACCCTTAACCAGGCCATAAATACCCTTCTCCATTCAGGATCTTGGCACCTTGTTTATTGCATTTAAAAGCTGCCTGATATGGAGTTTTTTTTTGGGGGGGCTCTAGTCCCAGCCAGGGACACACTCAGCAGGTTTGGCCTGAGACAGACAGGCACAGTCTCCATTTGCTGAAATGTCCCAAATCCTGGAGTTTGGTTCCCACTTGGCTGTGCCTGCCCAAGCCCTGTTCCAGCCCACTGGTGTTCTCCTAACACCTTGTGCCTGCCCTGACCGGGCTGCAGTGCTGGGGTGAGCAGGAGACTCTAGGGACATCAAAGCAGAGCAGTGGTGTGTGAGTCCTTCCTGTGCTTCCTGCAGGCAGGATGTTTGTCTCTCCCCACCTTCCTCAAGGTGACCCCTGCTCTGTCCCCCGCCAGTGGCTCTGTGCTGCCGTAAGCACTTCCCAAGGCGGGAGGGCACCGGGAATGTTGGTGTCTGTGCTCTGCTGGTGCTGAGCTCTGCTCTGACAGCCCTGGTTCAGCGTTTCTGTGCTCGGAGGGGAGGTTGGAGCAGTGTGCCAGGGACCCTGTGATCAGGTGTGAACCTGGGTAATGAGCCCCAGAGGACGGATTCCTCTTCCAGAAGCACCTTTTCACTGACTTACCTGGAGAAAAGGTCTGTAACTGCTGAAGTTGAGGGCTGCAGGTGTGGGGGGCACCTTACTTGCTGTGAAACCTTTTGGTTTTTCCACAAAGGTCTTTTCCCCCCCACTGTGTGTTGAAAATGAGAGGCAACATCATCTTTTTTTTTTTTTCCCCCCAGAAATTCTGTGGATTTATTTTGTTGGCTAATTTTTTTTTATAGTCTGTTTTTCCTACATGAAAGCCATGACATTTTGATCCACACTGGCATCCTGGTATAAGCTCCTGCATGAGAACTAAGGGGGGAGGAACTAAGAGCCCCAAAAGATCATAAGCAGGCTCCAGAATGCCCTTGGGTGGAGGTGATGTTACCCACACCCCCATGCTCCACCAGAGTTAGACTCCATACCTGGGTCTGTCCCACTTGCTTGAGCCTCCCTCCCCACTCCTGGTAAAGAAGGGAGTTCTCTGGCCCCCAGGAATCTCAGCTCTGTTTGGGAGGCTGTATCCCAGGGAACAGGCTTACCCATTGCTGGTTGAAGGACAATGCTGCTTATTTGCTGGGATTAGCCAGAATTCCTGTGAGTGGGTGAAACCTGGACAGTGCTGAGGGGCAGAAAGGTCTGAGCTCGGAGTCTTTACCTCTGCCAAGTACAGGTGGAAGGAGGAATTGAATGTAAAAGGCAGAGTAAGAGTCCTCTTGATCTTCACACTTGAATTTATCCAGTCTTTTCTGGCATTTTTTCCTGCTCTGCACAGGTAGCTACAGCTAATCAGGCTAATGAACTGGCTCAGGGCTGTGGTGATGAAGCGAGTTCTGCCGCCTCGATCTTCGATAAAATCACCCCAGATTTTACAAATTGTGGTGTTCTGATTGTGTTGGAAGCACATTTAAAATGCTGTACTGTGCAGCAACAGTGTTAATGGCAATTCTTAAAACCACTTGTGGGTTGCAATCTGTATCTTCAAATTAGCCACGGGAAAGAGAAATGGCAGATAAAATATCCGCTGTGGTTTGCTGTTGTTAGTCTATGCCTGGAATAATCATCCTGGGCATGGGAGGGGAAAAGGATTAAAATTCACTGCTAGGAGGAGAGAGAGATTTCCTTGCAAGCAAATTGAGAGGGTTTGTTGACATAATTCTGGCACGTGTGTGTTGCTCCTGGTGTGTATTTGGGGAGTGTGTAACTTGCCTGCACAGGCAGGACCAGCACTGGTTGGTGGAAATGCAGGGATTGAACCAGGCAGAGAGAGGGGTTTTCATAAGTGCTCACCCTTGCTTGAAAACCCTGCCCAAAATAAAATTTCATGCCTTGGATGGAGCACTTTGCCTCTATGATGGACTTGATGATCTTTTCCAACCTTGACAATTCTATGATTCTATAACCTTAAAAATGCCTTCAGGCTGGCCGGGCTGTGCCTCTGCTGACATCTTTTTTAGTGTCTGTTCCTGGGTGTTCTTGAAGGAAAATAAGAAAACAAGAAAAATAAGAGCTGTTGTGTTTCATGCCGATCTGTTCAGTGATGTTAAAGCCAGGGTGCAAAATCTGGGAGTATTTAACTGAAGGGGTGGTTAATTTTTGGAGTATTGTAGGTAAAGCAGTGCCTAGGATCACTGGGATATCTCCTTCCAAGGGTTCTCCTGGCTTGGCCACTGAGCTGTGATAGTGGGAATGCAAAGAACCTGCACTTGGAAGACAAGTATCCCTGAGTCAGTTTAGTAAAGATGCCATTTCTTCTTGGAAAGAAAGTGCTGATGATCCTCTGTTTCTGTACCCTGTACTGTACTTCTGCACTTCTCTGAAAACCACACACAAAAGTTCTCCCAGCATTCTGGCAGATCACTTTCATCACTTTCTTCACTGCCTAAAATTTCATAGAGCTGAAAATTACTGGTCAATCTTGAAAGGATTCAGTAATTGGAAAGGAGGAAAAAAAAAAAAAGAGGGTGGTGTTATTTTGTTACCCTTGCAAAGTGCAGATAAAATCTGGAGTTCAGCATTAGTTATTGATCTTCAGGGGTGGAGGGAGCCTGGCAGGATGATGATGTCCTTCTGACTTCATTATGGAGGGGAGCTCCAGGGAGCATATCAATGTGCTGTGGAGCCGGGGCGGGTGCTGTGCCCTTGGGCCTGGCAGAGCCTGGGTGGTTGTTTCCAGCAAAGCAGGACACAGTGGGCTGCTTGAGGAGGAAGAGGGAGGAAAGGAGGGTTAGATCAAAGTCTGTGAACTTGAGGGGCGAAGGAGTGGGCTCAGCCCTTCCAGGCTGTTTGTTTTGTGGAAAGGAAAATGGAGTGGAGTATCCCCTGATAAATCAGCTCAGCAGCTCTCCTTCCTCCCCTCTCTGCCACCGTTAAACATAGAATGGTTTGGGTTGGAAGAGACTTCAAAGATAATCATGTTCCAAGTCCCTGTCATGGGCAGGGACACCTTCCATAAACCAGATTGCTCAGAGCTCCATCCAGCCTGACTTTTGAACACTTCCAGGGATGGGGCAGCCACAGCTTCTCCGGGCAACCTGTGCCAGGGCCTCACCCACAGGGGAAAATTTCCTCCCAATATCCCATCTAACACTGCCCTCTGGCAGCGGGAAGCCATTCCCCCTTGTCCAAAGTCCCTCTCCAACTCTCTTGGAGCCCCTTTAGGCACTGGAAGGGGCTTGGTTCCACATCTCAGTGGGGTGCTCTCGGTCCCAGCCCTGGCTGCTCCCCACCAGCGTCTGTTGTTGGTGTGTGCCTGCAGCCATCAGCCACCCCAGAAGCTGTCCAGGACCTGCATCACCGCAACCCCATGTCTTACACTTGCAAAAAACCCAAGATTTTGAGTGATTGAATCCCCCAAGCTGTAATTGCAGGTATTGAGTGTAATACTATGTGTTTTTCAAAGCTGTCCAGCCCCCAGAGTTATTTTCATATCAATTAACCCTCTTGCACGGCTCGGGATGGCAGCAGAGAGAGGAGGGAAGTGACAGCGTGTGATTTGGACTTCTTTAATCTTAAAACTAAACAGAATTAAGGAACAGCAGGCTGTCT